CATATATGTTTATGGCTTTGAATTCATCTCTAACTAAAATGAATTTAGTTCCTCATGTTCGCAAAGCAAAGATAATTAAATTTAAACATTGAAAACAAAGAATAGAATACACCTAGAAACGCTCCAACAATTCAACGTTTTGAATGGCAAGCACGACTCCAAGTGTGGTGTGAATTTGTGGTAGAAGGTGGTGCTTAATGATGGGTGCGGCATCATATATTTATAGGGTGAAGGAAAGGCACGAAATTGGGTTGAAAATGAGAGGAATTAGGACTCCAAATCACCAAAGAACAAGGTCACTTTCAATCAGATTCTAGAGAGGACAAGGAATGGTCCTTATGGCAAATTCTAGAACTTCTAGAAGGGTTACATGTGGCATAAACTTAAGGTACGAAAATAGGGCTTCGAGAACCTAATATTTAGGTGATTTAATGTGAAAATGAGTCATCTTTGCAGCTGGAATTAAGGTAGGAAAATATTAGGATAGGATAAGATAAGGTTGGATAAGGTTTGGATAAGATAAGGTAATTTGGATAATGTTCCTTCTTTGTAGCTAATTCCTTATCTTCCAAGTCTTCAATTTAATTCCTCCAGATGTTAATCACATTCCTAGCCTCTCTTGACTTCAAATTTGTCCATCCACCATGCTTTATATGCAAGCTATCCATTCCATGCTCAAAATTGCAACAAATGGCTCCAAAATGCACTTTCTTGGTAACTTTGCCATTAGTACCTACAAACACACGAAAATAGCTTAAAACACTATAATAAGTAGAAACTAACTATGTAAATGCAAGAAAACAAGCTAACTAAGTCGCATAAATATGCTCCTATCAAATTTAGGGATTAAGGTTCTTGAGAGGGTGGTGGTGTTTTCGCCTTGGGGCCAAGTTCAAGGCAAAATTTTTTTTAATTTAAATTTTTTTGGTTTTGAATTTTGAATTTTTTTAAAAAATAATAAAGAGAGCGTGGAGTTTTAGTTGGGCAAAGAGATGGTCTCATATTTACCATGTCAGCATTTAATAAAAATTTTAACAGAAAAATAGACTGGAGGTATGAAATTGTTACAAATTCATAAGTTAATGTATGATATTATAATGTTTAAAAGATGAGGTATGAGTTTGTTAGAAGACCTAAAGTTGAGGTGTTAAAAATGATAGGTTGGGTGGTCAAGCACGTGTGGTAGTGTTGGATTTCAAGAATTTTCATGTTGGAGCTAAGACATTAATACTGTACTATATTCAACTCCTTATGTAACATATAATTAAAGGTAGTGCTATTTACACATTATTTTGTTTTATCTTTTATACTGTATAATCTTGTTAACTTTTGTTCCTTGACTTTCTTCAATTTATTTGATCCGACGACCAGAAAGTAAAAATAGCGTGTGAGCAGTAAAAATAGGTTTATAGATAGCATCATCCATGAGAGCAACTTCACCCTTTCCAATTGCAAGAAGGATTGGGTGATTCAATCTATCAAAACCAACAAAATGAGCTCCACCTCAACCCAAACAAGTCGGGCTACAATAAAAATACGAAGGCACGACTACTCACTTGGGCCAAAATCGCCCAATCCAGCGTTTTAGGGAGTGTGATGGCACCCACGTTATTATTATTTTGGGTTAGGTGTGTGGGCTTAACACATGCGTGAGCGCAAGTAGACTGACCAACACTATAGTGCTGGGGGACCTTCAACCATTTGATTTGCACAAGATTTCTATCCTACAGTCCAAATTTTTCAACAAAAAAAATTAAAAAAAAAAGAAATATTTATTAGCTGTTGTGGCCAATGTGGCACTTCAGAGCAGTTCCAGCGTGGGAACCCTTCCCCCAGACAATACACTATTTAATCCACGCAGTGAACAATAATTGCCCTTAATGAACAGTAATCGCCTTTTGCATCTCCACCGTTGCACTTGAATAGCTCTGGCAATGGATAATAAAATATTAATTTTTTTCACATCCAATCCATCAAACATCCCATCACCCTTTCCCCCCTTTTTTTTTTTGCTTGACCGGTTCTTCTTCCTCTCTCTCTCTCTCTTTCTCTTTTTCTCTTTTATTTCTATCTCTCTTTCCTCTCTCTCTCTCTCTCTCTCTCTCTCTCTCTTCCTCTCTCTCTCTCTCTCTTTTCTTTCTATCTCTCTTTCCCTTCTTCCTCTCATTTACGTTTTTCCCTCATTCCACCTTCATCATCTCTCCTCTTCTCTGCTTTCATTCCCTTCCTCCTCGGTTTCTCCTTCTTCCCCAATCTTTGTCTTCCTCTCCTCTTCTCTGCTTTCATTCCCTTCCCTTCCTCTTCCACTTCCCTTCTCTCTACACATAGTGGCAATTGCTTGCCGGGACTAGAATTTCTCCCTAATTTTTCACGACTTATTCGAAGTCCCAGCCATGAATCCAAAATAGCGAGTTCAATCCGATGATTCTTTTTTTTTTTTTTTAATTTCTGGTTTGATTTATTTGCTGCAGATCGAATTTGATCATATATGCAGTGGTTTTATAACCATAGTTTTATTGGAAATTTTAGTTTAATTTAATTTTTTGAAATTGATTCTGCATAGTTGATGTTTTTTGTTCGAATTGAGGGTTTGGGTGTGTAGATCCAGGTCAAATGAGGGGAAGGAGGACGGGGAGATGCAAGGTCGGCGCATGCACCGATGCCGAACATCAGCCACACATCACACAGCCCTCAGGCTCTCAGGCTGTCGATTCTTGCCGGGCTTCTCGCTCGGGCCTACTCGGGCTTGCTCGCCAGCACACGCTGGACTTCATCACTCGGGCTCTTTGGCCTTGTTCCTGCACTTGTCCCTTAGGCTGGAGCACACAGTGAAAGTGCTCTTATGGGTTGTTGGATTACAAGAAAAGAATGTATTAAAAGGTTCATATTAATTAGGTAAAAAATAAATATTAAAAATTATAAAAAAATTTACAAATTACAGAATCATAACACGTGAAGAAATCAGTTAAAAATCTTATTCAAAATTAAACATATATTTATCTTCTTATTAATTTTTAAAAAAAATATTTTAGAAGTGCAAATGCACACGGGTAGTTATTGTTCAAAGCTGTAATTGCCTTTACTCAATAGCCCGAACATTAATTGACTCAGTAGGGTGGAGTTGCTCTAATCAATCCTAGCACCCCACATTCCATTGGGTCTAATATCAATCATCGGGATAAGGTATGAATAATTATTTGAATATTTTTCAGATAAGAGTATCGTTGGATTTTGTAACAGAGATAAGATACACTTATGAGCCAAGCTTTAACGAACAAGTCGAGCTTAAACCAAATTTGAGCTATCTGATAAGAAGATACGAGCAGTTCACTAGCTTTATGAGCTGAACATAGCAAAGCTCTATATCAACTTATTCCATTAACGAGTCTATTATTTTGTTCGAGTTCAATTCACTCCATTGAAAATCAAGCTTAGATGAGCAAAAAAATAAAAAGCCGATTCAAATTGTTTCGAGCATATTATAGCCCTACATGTGCTCACTTTATGAAAATTGTGGTGTTTTGTTTTGAACGCGAGAACGATTAATAAAAAACAAGGGTGCTAGGTTAATTGCATTCCAAAAATCCACAAACAAAAGACATATGGCCATAATTGAGGGATTGGAGGAGATGGGAGAGATTAGAGGGAAACGGTTATAAAATTGGCTTGAGTTACATCTGACAATTTATCATCACTATTTTAGGCCCTGTTTGGTATCATATTTGAAATTTTATATCATTTCTCAAAACATTTCTTAAGGACATTTCTTGAAAACAATTTTCTTTAAGACTTAAAAACTTGATTGGTTTGCGATTTAAAATTTTTAAATCTTACGACTTAAACTAGATAAAGAGATCTAAAAAGAGAGGGAGAAAGAGGAGAGAAGATGAAAGAAAGTTAGAGATGATTGAAGTAAAGATAAGGAAGAGAGGATCAGACGAGATAGAAAGGAAGATGAGTGAGAGAAATAACTGAGAGAATGAAGAGAGCGATTGGAGAAGAGACGAAAAAGGTAAAAAAAAAAAAAAGAGAGAGAAATAAGAAAAGAGAGATAGATAGATTTGGAGTGAGGGGAGGAGGGAGAGAAGAAATGAGTGAATTTAAATTTAAAAACTCTAAAAACTCACTTTTTATGTTTTTAGATAATAGATTATATTTTTGAGTTAGTCTTGAGTTCAGTTTTTGAAAATAGCCCTACCAGACAAATTTTCAAGGCCTAAAACTTGAAAATTGTTTTTGAGTTTAAAAGGTTGAATTCAAGTAGAATACCAAACATGCCCTTAAGTACTTTAGGTAAGTCTCTATTATATTTAAGAGGTGTTGGGTTTGGATTAGTCACACAATGAGTCAAATATCATAATTTAGTATTGAATTAGCCATTTACATGAATCGAATATAAAATCTAACACTTATGCTGTGTTTGGATGAAGAAATTTAAGATTATTAAGGAATTTAAAAATGACGGAAATTGAAATGATGAGATTTTATTTTTTAGAATTTGTAAATTTTCTTGTTTGGTTAACCTAAAAGAACAATGAAATTGAATACAGAATTTGTTATTTTTAAACTCTCAATCATAGAAATCGAGAAATGACACATATTTACATGAAATTTGAACTTGGGAATTAGAGGTCTCAAATTTCAAGTTTTTTTCCACACGGAAATTCTAAATTTCTATATTTATGAATCCAAATAAGGAAATTGGTGCATGTCAATTTATAAATTCTGATTTTTATCAAAATTCCAAATTTATTTCCATCATCCAAATATAATATTACTGAATCAAGAGATTTACTACTAGATTATGATAGTATATAAGTCGCCCTTATAAAGTGTGCAATAAAGTACAAATCAAATGTGACGGACCTGACTCAGTCTAATATTGATCTAACTGGCCCACGAAGCCCATTTCAGCAGCCGGGTTTGGGTTTTAAAATCGGGTAATTCCAAACCGGTAAATTCCATATCAATGCTTAAACCCCCAAACCCAAACCCTGTAGCTACTTCTCAGACTTGTCTCCGCCACTCTCCAACCCTCGCTGTCTTCCATCTTCTTTCAGCTTCAGAAGGTTGGGGTCTCTCTCTCTCTCTCTCTCTCTCTCTCTCTCTCTCTTCTCATACTTTTCTCTTTCTCTCTAACCCTCGCCGTCCTTCTTCTTTCAGCTTCAGAAGGTTAGGGTTTCTCTCTCTCTCTCTCTCTCTCTCTCTCCTCAGACTTGTCTCTTTCTCTCTAACCCTCGCCGTCCTTCTTCTTTCAGCTTCAGAAGGTTAGGGTTTCTCTCTCAGACTTGTCTCTGCCTCTCTAACCCTCGCCGTCCTCCTTCTTTCATCTTCAAAAGGTTAGGGTTTCTCTCTCTCTCTCTCTCTCTCTCTCTCTATATATATATATTTCTGTGTACATATCATTTGTTTCGCTTCAAATAAAACAAGGAAATTTCATCAATTCTAGAATTCGAGATTGATGAAGTTTGAATATTTGAACTGAAGTTGTATGTCACACCAAAGCTAAAATCTTTGTGGAAGTAAATTGTATAAACATTTGGGTGTTTGAATTTCTAGGGGTCAGGCGTCACAATGGGGAGGAAGGCTCGTCACAGTGACAGTGAGTTTGAGGACGATAGTGATTTCGACAGCGATGAGCTGAATGTTAGTTTAATTTGTAATTCTGTTGTTCAGTTTCGGTAGTTATCTGGTTTTGTTTTGGTGATTGTGTTGTTAATTGATGATTTGTGATGTAGATGGAGCAGGAAGAGGATGACTTTGATGATGAGCATGACGGTGAGGAGGAGGAAGAAGAATCAGAAAATGAGGAAGAAGATGGACGAGAAGATGGGGAAGAGGAAAATGGTGAGGAGAAAAACGACAATAAAGATGCCGAGATGGAAGAACTCGAGAAAGAATACATGAATCTTCGTCATCAGGAGCAGTAAGAGACTTCTGCTCACTAACCTTTTATTTTTTATTATAAACTTGTGATGCTTAATTAGACTGACGACGTAGAACTAAATAATATGAATGTAGGAGATAATATGCATTGCAGTCGGAGGTTGGTGGGGAAATTTGATATTAGGTTACAGAAGTTATTCAATAATAGTGCCATTTCATCGTAGCTCGCCTCTAAGTTTCAGTTTCTATTTAATTTAGTTATTATGAAAGGAAAAAATGGAGTATTACATACCTCTGCAATTATTGAGTTTGAGATAATAAGAAGGAACATACATCTATACATAGGTATAGGTGGATGTATGAAGTTAATTTTGTTCATCGTTTATTCCCTCTTCCCATGCAGAGATATTTTAAAGAATCTAAAGCGTCATAAGGACGAAGATCTTCTTAAAGGTCAAGCAGTGAAGAACCAAAAGGTGCGTTGTTCAAGATAATAGCTCTTGTAATATCCATATTGCTCCTTGATTAGAGCTTCTTTTTATGCCTCGCCTTAAAGTTGACAAAAAATATTTATGTAGCGGATTATTGTCTGGTCGATGTTTATTTTACCCATTTTTTATGCTTTTTTTTCTTTTCATTTTCCCGAAGGCTCTCTGGGACAAAGCTCTTGAGTTCAGATTCTTGCTTCAGAAAGCATTCTCAAATTCAAATAGATTACCACAGGTTGCTTATGCGTCCCCCTCCTTTTTTTTTTTTGTAGCTTTTTGACATGTTAAGATAGTATGTTACCCAAGAGGTTGTCTGCAGGAGCCAGTTAGGTCTTTATTTTGTGATTCACATCAGGGTGTCAGTACAGCATATTCTGATCTAGTTGACTCATCAAAGCAAACTTTGGATTCACTAGCGGAACTACAAGAGGTATGGCTATCGTAAAAAGTTGTCTACCTATAATACTACTTGGTCTGTGGTTTAGCTTCATACCTTGTGGTAATATAATATAAATTATTACGATTTGTTAATATTGACATTTGTATATGCTAAAATTTATCACATCATGCCATTTTTTCTTGTTACAGGCTTTACTTGAGAAGAACCCGTCCATCGTTCAAGCAACGGATAGTATGTGCAAACTACATTTATCATACGATTATGTTTATTTTGTAATACAATTGGCTCTCTATTATTGTTGTGCATTTGCTATCGGCGTGATAAGAATTGCCAGTATGTGTAAGGTTTGATATGCTGGTACTGAGTTATTATTAAGAGAGTAAGAGTGTCTATCAAGAGGAATGGATTAAGCTGAGCCTTGCCCAAGCTCATCCCAAAGTACAAAGCATCGAGCTTGAGCTTGGACCGGCTCAATTGTTAACCTAAATCTTCGCACATCAACTTTGGGTCAGTTGAATTGTAATAAAGTTTGTGCTTAGTTCTAATTGAGATCAAGGCAGTCCCAACAGGTGATGGTTTACACACAATAGGTTGGAACTTCAGAGTAGTTTGATCGGTCAGAAATATTGTTGTGTTCAACAAAAATTAGACACTGTGATTTTGTATACAGCATTCAAGGAAACATCAATAGGGTTTAGGTATATGTTCCAGTGGTCAAAAGCATAATGTTGGCATAGAAGCTAAATCAGTTGGGTCTTGCTTTGTTGATCTGAGCATAGCCAAGATAAAGCCAGATTTGAAATCTGCCCCAGGACAAATCTTTCGTGCTTGATCTTGTATAAACCTTAGCCTGATTAAGCAAAAAAAAAAAAAAAAGAAAACATTTGGCTTTTGGGCTACTTTGGTGTCCTAGTTTGTACTGTTTGCATTTTCATTAGTTTCATACTGCATATGTTCATGTAGTGCTTCTCCTAATAAATATCCTGTTCTGAAGGTAAATCTGGACAATCTAAGAAGTCAGAGTCATCTAAGAACATTGACGGTGATGGTGATGAGGATTGGTCACGGATTTCTCAGTTGCTGTCGAGGTACTCAGATCGTACTTTAGATACTCTGAGAAGAATTATGTTCTACTAACTACATATGCTCTTGTGTTGAAGTCTATCAATACTTGTATAAAACTGAAATATTTGTTTTCTTCTTCATGCCATATTTCTTTGCTCCATATGGAGCAGCAAAAGGAAATGTGGAATTTTTATTGTTTAAAATTCTCGTAATGGTAGATTCAAGTACCTTACTTTTATTGCTGTATTTCAATACCATAATATCCAACTTTTGTTATACTTCGATATATAGTTTTTCTCAGTTAATACATCAGGCTGTTATGTTATTTTGTCTCAACTGTTTAATATGCAATATACGCTTTGATAGTTTTCTGACATTGAAATTCCATTAGGCACTAAAGTAAATTTGTTTGTTATGTGTTTAATTTGAGATGTAGGGCAGTTATGGTATAAAAAATCTTCTACTTGTAGTCATGCTCCATCAACTTCTCTTGCATGATTTGTAGAAATTTGTTCTACTATGTTGTTCAACTTTTCATCATTGTATGAATTTCCATGTGGGTTACTTGGTCTAACTAAACCTGTCATGTTTTATCTTGTAGAATAGCTACTTTCAGAGACAAATCCATCAACAAATGGCAGAGGAAGACAGAGGTGACCACAGGTGCTGCTGCTATTAAAAGCAAACTGCATGCTTTTAATCAGGTCTGGCCCTACAATTAAAATTGTAACCATGCGTTCCCCTATGAGCGGACTTGTGCCATCCCTTGCGAGATATTCAACATGAATTCATTTATCCTTTCCAATTGCAGAATATTAGTGAACAAGTTGCTTCTTATATGAGAGATCCAAGCAGAATGGTTAGGCAGATGCAGATGAGGAAATCAGCAGTTTCTGTATTTGGCGCTGTAAGATATTAACTCTTACATCTAAATTGAAAAAATTGAAAATTTTACACTTCCCAAGCTTCTTGTCCATTCCCAAAAGAGATTTCTTCTTAATTTTTAAATGGATGTGCAGGTTCCTGAGGAGAAACATACTGCAAAGGGGGAGGTAATCCTACTGTTCTGCATATAATTGGTTAACTAGAATTCTATTCAAATCTGAGGCTCATCTATAAATTTGTTGCACTTAAATGTCACATGGATTTTACAGTTTCCTAAGTGCTATTTTAATTCTCAAACGAGGTACAAATTCATTGTTTGAGGAAGGATGCATTCTGTTAATTTGATACCATATTTGAACAATATTTTGCGTCGTTTGTGGTGTTTACTTCAATTTTCATTTTGGATGGCCCCTATTCTATTTGATGAATTTATTCCTTTGTTATATAAGAATGAATCGTGCCACCTGTGATTATTTTAGTACTCATCATCTGTAGCTTTGATTGTATCTTTTAATTAAAAAATTTCTTTATTATTCCTTCACTCTGATAGGAGACACAATCTGAAGCTGGTGCCCAAGCTGACGGTGACCCTGAACTTTTGGATGACTCTGAGTTTTACCAGCAGTTACTGAAAGAATTTTTTGAGACAATTGACCCAGCATCTTCTGGTAAAATTATTAGTGCATCTCATATGTAATACATGATTGCATTTGAATGTGATATACGGTTTTTCCAAATCTATAAGAGTTCCGGTAAATCAAAACACACAATCAGATTGCATTTAAAAATTGTGGCTTTTGAAATTGTTTATGATTGTATATTCCCAAGCGGTTCTGGATATCCTTGTTAATTTTTTGTTTGGGATCTGTATCTGCATCTGTTGTCTTCGTTATAGTGGGCTTGGAACCTAGGAGATCCTGGATATCTATTATTCAAGCTTTTGTAACTTTACAAATGGAACGCACTATCGTAGTTATTCCTGCTAACAATTAAGACGTATATTGTCAGCATATTGTTATTGATTCTGATTTTGCACTATTTGATTATCCTCAGAGACAGCCTTTTATTCTTTGAAAAAGTTGCATACAAAGAAGAGGAAGATTGTTGACAGAAGAGCCTCTAAGAGTCGCAAGATAAGGTATCAATAGATTCTTCGGTTCCCAATGTGAAACTGCTATGATTTTGTTTTGGAATGCCTTGGAGCATCTGTTGAGCAAACGAGGGCACGTTGTTGAAGGCTTATTGTATTATGCTTTTGCAGGTACAATGTTCACGAGAAGATAGTAAATTTCATGGCCCCGGAGACCATGGCCGTTCCTCCGATGCTTCCTGACCTCAATAATTTGTTTGGGTTGAAGAAGCAAAAACCAGCTTCCGTAGTGTAGGAAATGGCTAATATCTGTTGTACTGATATTTATGTAATTTACACAGTTTTGTTGCAAATGACAATTAAGATGTGTAACTTTTGACAAAGTGCATGAGGTTGTAAGCACTCAGTGGCAGGAAAGAAAAATTTCGTAACGGTAAAGCCATAATGTACACAATATTTGATGATGCTGAAGACATTTGAACTTGATATCTAATAGCAAGGGGCTTTTATATCTCAAGCAGTTAACATGACTTAGCTATGAATCCCATGTCTTGTGTATGAAGGCATAAAACGCCTTGAAGACAAGGTGATAATGCAGAGATGTCTGTATCTAGTCAAATAAAAAAACTCATGGAGGGCTTTTGGACTAGTGTCGCTTCTTTTTTCGAGAGATGGAAGGGGTCGAACGATTAGAGTGAACGTGAGAAAGAAGACGGCAGCATTGACGAGCCCCTTCCATCCTCCCAGATGGCGGTCGTTGCCTCCAGCCGTTGCCGCTGCAATTTTGTGATCGAGATCATTTTGTTGCTCTTCTTCTTTGCCTGAAAAACATACAAATAAGAGAGAATTTAGAGAAAAATGAAATGAATACGAGCAGACACCTAAGTGCTTTAATGGAGCATAATTTACCTGAGTCCATGATGCGGGTATTCAACCATTTCGGCCCTACAGAAATCAACATTTTTCATTTCTGCTTCACTGAACCAGCAAAAGTTGTACGTTCCTCATATATGCTCCAGCGGTGACAAACCTCCACCGATGACAAATGGATCATTAGGATCTGGAGTGGTGTTGTGTTGGGTACTTATCTTGTCTTGGTGCTCTTGCACAAGCTCAACCCCGAACTCCTTTACCCGAATAAATTCATCAGGCTTACTCGTCATTATGGAAACAACCACTTCATCTCCACATTCTAATATTATTGTTTCACTGTCCATTTTCCAATGGCTCAACCATGTCCGATCATCTCCTACCTCTCTAAAATGGCCACCGTAGAATCGTGGGCCATAGATCCACACCCTTGCTCTTGTTGCTCTCTTCAATACTCATAAATGTATGAGGTGAATAAGTCCAATTGAGGGTCTTGTTTGCGTAGGTAGCAAAGATATTCAAGCCCCGAATTTTGTGACTTGAAAGACAAGGCACAATAAAAGATATTGAGGACTTTGTACTTTTATAGCTGAACCGGCCAGGAACCTCATTCCCAGTAAAAAATGTGCTGTATATATGCAACCAACTACAGCAACGACTTCAGTTTTCGGCAACCCCACAAGTGATTCAAGCCTCTTACAGTGATTAAAAGAGAGTAACCAGAGCTTCGTCAAACCTTTGATGAAAACAGGTAGGCTAGAAAATTGGTTTATCATCTAAATCTAGTATTTGCAGTGAGGATAGATTACTTAAATCCGTAGCAAAGGCATCATCAGAAAGATTGCAGCTACGAAGTCCTTACTCTACTAAAGAACATGGCAAATAAGTCAAGATACTTGAATTTCTTCCAGGCCATAATTCACTTCTTGGAATTCCATCTGTTTCGAGCATTTTTAAAGATTCCGTCTTCTTCATCGTCTCATCAAGATTTGAGCACCCACATAAAATGAGAGTCTCAAGTGATTTTAGCATGCACATGTTCTTTGGAAGCATCCTAAGGTTCTTGGAATCCTTTAGATTCAAGTGCACAAGTCTGTCTAGGTTTCCAATGGATTCATGAACATCAAGCAGGCTTCCACAATCTACAAGAATCAATTCCTCTAGATTGGGGCAGTATGAGAAGTCCATGGTTTGACTAAGGCCATGAGAATGGCTCAAATCAAGGATCTTCAATGATGGAAGAGACTGCAAGAAAAAAATTAAAATAAAAAAAAAGAGAGATAAAATTTTTGGGAGTTAACATATCCAATTAGTCAACGAATCAAAACTTTAAAAAGCAAAAGAAGGAAAAGGAACTGAGATGCACATAGTAACATACTTTTGTTCCTTTGTAGACTTCTCTCATGCTACTATATTGCATTTCAAGAACAATTAGACACTCCAAGGGAAAATCAATGGGTATAGAATCCAAAGGAAATTCAAGCCAACACAACCATCTTAATCCTGTAGGGAAATTTGTATAACATCCCTCTAGCCGTACACGTCTAAGATGGAGTAGTTGTAATTTGTGTATCCTTTCAATTGCATTGGTTTCAAAGATTGTCTCATTTGTGTTTTTTGGACTCTTTGCAGGATGTCCATGCATGTGCAGAACAAGACCTTGGATTGTTTGTGTACCCTAAGGACAGAAAAGTGGAACAACATTAGCATGGATATTTTTCACAAGAAGAGTCCCCACTACTTCATATTATTCCTATAATTTCACTTGTCACCCTTGCTGGTCTCTACTAGTGTCGAACTCACCCATACAAAAGGCAGTTCTATCCCTTATCCTAATTTTAAATATTCCAATAAAATCCTTCCACACTAGTATGCGATGACACTAATAATATGTTATGTTTCATACAAGCAATTAAATCAATTGTATACATACCAATTAGAACACAAATTTTACAAAGTTTAAACAACAAGTACCCCGTCGGTGATAAGTTCCTCGACAAATCCGTATTTTAAGGGACGTTAGTGATATGTTTGAAACGTATGAAAATTTTGTGAAAATACGATAAACTTCAGAGATGTTGGTGTCATTAACCCTGCTCGGAAGGGGGTGGGGATGTGAGAAAATAGAGATGCCATAGACAGAAAGAGGGACCTGATTTTTCCTCTGAAAGCATGCCGTCATTTCGGTCAGATTGAGAGAAGTATGGGTATGAAATCCTGTGAAGTTAAGTTTGCTGTAGACTTACTCAAATTAAAAAATGGTTTCTTTACTGTTGAGTTTGGTTGAACAACGAGATGATGTTTTTCACCAAGTTATCAAATCAAGTGATTCTGAACCTTTAAATTTAGTCCAGACTGACTCACTCCACCCTCTCTGTGTCTCTCACTCTGAAGTTCTTCAACGTTTTCGCCCGAATTGCTAAAAAATTACAGCTCTCAAACATATCAGATCCCTTACTCACCCTTATGGCATCGACGCCCCAAAGGTATATTCCTCTCATCACTTTCAGAATCCAGTATATATGCGTGTATATATATTTGCCAGTGGAAATTTGTAATTTTGATTGTTCTCTGGGGGTGGTTTTGTGCATGAATAAGGTACTGGGTTTTCGCTATATTTTGTTTTCGGGATGTTGATGGTTTTGGTTATGCTCTCTTTTTTTTTTTCCATTTTTTCTCAATTCTCTGTAAGTGGAACTTTTGTATGCAATTGCTTATATAATTCCTTTTGGCCGTCTATCAATTTTATGCTTTGTTTGGTTGTTTTACTAGGGATTAATACAAGATGAGAAAGTTTGAATTTTTTCCTTATTATTGAATTGTGTATATAATTCGGAGTTCGAAAATTTCAAAATATTCAGCCTATGAAGTGAGATTTTTCATTCTTGCTTGACGATTGCTTCTTTGATTTTACCGTGAAGTGATAAATATTACTTTTTTGATGTTGCCTTTTGCTCCCATGGAATGAATAAGAGTAATTAGTCTGACCGTCATACAACTGATACATGCTTGCTTTGATTTTGGTTGGATCATTTCATGGTTGACCCAATTTTCATGCCTTCGTGGTTCGGTTTGATCCTAGTGAATGGTGTTCTTTGTTACTCTATTTCCATATAAACAATACAAGTTCTTTATTCCCCATATTCTGTACAAAATTTAGTTTAATGAAATGTAATTAGCTTTTTCAATGTACTAATGATTGTAACCTTTTGAATTTTAGGTAATTAATAAGACACAATGATCATATTCGTTTTGTCTTTAAAATCCGCCCTTTTGATTGTACATGGGCTCTTGATGCAAACCGACATACTTATTTTACCATGTCTGGTTAGTTTTTGAATTATTTTAAAGATAGCTTTGTTGATTTGCAGTTTTGTGGGATTTACCGAAGCAAAATGTGCATTATCCTAATTGATGTATTTGAGAGTGCAATTGTGTTGCTGCTGGCTTTTGAGTATCAATTCATTGCTAGGTGTGCATTATCCAAATTGATGTATTTGAGAATGCAATTGTGTTTTCCAGATTTTGTATTTTTCTGTGGAAGTGATTCATAGCTGTTGTGGATTACGGTTTCAAAACCCACAGCAGAGCGTGGACAGTTTTTCTAGTACTGTACTATATTGAACTTCTTTGTGTAACATACGGGTAATGCTATATACACATCACTTTTTACCTTTTATACTGTACAGTCTTGTTAACTTCTGTTCATTGACCTTTCTTCAATTCATTTGATCCGACGGCCAGAAAGTGAAAAGAGTGTGTGAGGGTAAAAATAGGTGTATGGATAGCATCACCCCTAAGAGCAACTTCACCCCTTCCAATTGCAAGAGTGATTGGGTGATTCAATCTACCAAAACCAACACAATGAGCTCCATCCCAGCCCAAACAAGTCGGGCTACAGTAAAAAAAAAAAAATATGAAGCACAACTGGTATTAAAAATCTTATACTTGTAGTCATGCTCCGTCAACTTCTCTTGTATGATTTCTAGAAATTTGTTCTACTATGTTGTTCAACTTCTCATTATTGTATGCATTTCCATGTGGGTTACTTGGTCTAACTAAAATTGTCACGTTGTATCTCGTAGAATAGCTACTTTCAGAGACAAATCAATCAACAAATGGCAGAGGAAGACAGGTGACCATGGATTCTACAATTTCCTATGTGCTATTTTAATTCTCAAGCGAGGTACAAATTCTTTGTTTGAGGAAGGATGCATTTTGTTAATTTGATACCATATTTGAACAATTTTTTGTATCGTTTGTGGTGTTTACTTCAATTTTTATTTGGCATGGCCCCAATTTTATTTGATGAATTTGTTCCTTTGCTATAAGAATGAATCATGCGACCTGTGATTATTTTAATACTCATCATCTGTAGCTTTGATTGTATCTTTTAATTAAAAGTTTTCTTTATTATTCTTTCACTCTGATAGGAGACACAATCTGAAGCTGGTGCACAAGCTGATGGTGACCCTGAACTTTTGGATGACTCTTGAGTTTTACCAGCAGTTATTGAAAGAATTTTTTGAGACAACTGACCCAGCATCTTGTGGTAAAACTATTAGAGCATCATATACATAATACATGATTGCATTTGAATGTGATACGGTTTATCCAAATCTATAAGCGTTCTGGTAAATCAAAACACAATCAGATTGCATGTAAAAATTGTGGCTTTTAAATTTGTATAAGATTTTATATTCCCAAGTGATGCCGGATATCCTTGTTCATTTTCTGGTTTGAATCTGTATCTGCATCTATTGTCTTCGTTATAGTGGGCTTGGAACCTAGGCGATCCTGAATATCTGTTATTCAAGTTTTTGTAACTTTAAAAGTGGAAAGTGCTATCGTAGTTATTCCTGCTAACAATCAATACCTTTATTGTCAGCATATTGTGTTGATTCTGATTTTGCACTATTTGATTATCCTCAGAGACAGCCTTTTATTCTTTGAAAAAGTTGCATACGAAGAAGAGGAAGATTGTTGACAGAAGAGCCTCTAAGAGTCGCGAGATAAGGTATCAATAGATTCTTCGGTTCCCTATGTGAAACTGCTATGATTTTGTTTTGGAATACCTTGGAGCATCTGTTGAGCAAACTAGGCCACATTGTTGAAGGCTTATTGTATTATGCTTTTGCAGGTACAATGTTCACGAGAAATAGTAAATTTCATGGTCCCAGAGACTATGGCTATTCCTCCGATGCTTCCTGACCTTAATAATTTGTTCGGGTTGAAGAAGCAAAACCCAACTTCCGTAGTGTAGGCAAGGCTAATATTTGTTGTACTGATATTTATGTAATTTACACAATTTTGTTGCAAATGACAATTAAGATCTGTAACTTTGACACTTACTAGCAAAGCGGATGTTCTTGCTTTCCCCCGTGCTGAAATCTTCTCCCCAAAATTCAAAGAATTGATTCTTGCCAGTGTTGCTAAAGATACCTATTGCCATGCGTTTAAGATGGCTTAGCTATGAATCGAATTCTTGTGTTTGAAGGCAGAAAACATCTTGAAGACAAGGTGATAATGCAGAGATGTCTATATGTAGTAAAATAAAAAACTCGTGGAGGGCTTTCGGACTACTGTCGCTTCTCTTTTTGAGAGATGGAGGGCGGAACGATTAGAGTTAGCGTGAGAAAGAAGACGGCAGCAGTGACTAGCCCTCACCATCCTCCCAGATGGCAGTTATTGCCTCTAGCACTCGCTGCTGCAATTTTGTGATCAAGATCGTTCTGTTGCTCTTCTTCTTTATCTGAAAAACATACAAATAACAGAAAATTTAGAGAAAAATGAAATGAATACGAGCAGACCCCCAAGTGCTTTAATGGAGCATGATTTACCTGAGTCCATGATGAGGGTATTCAACCATTTCGGCCTACAAAAATCAGTATTTTTCATTTCTGCTTCACTGAACCAGCAAAAGTAGTAATTTCCTGATATATGCCCAGCGGTGACAAATCTCCACCGATGACAAATGGATCATTAGGATCTGGAGTGGTGTTGTGTTTGGTACTCATCTTGTCTTGGTGCTCTTGCACAAGCTCAACCCCAAACTCCTTTACCCGAAAAGACTTTCCACGTTTCGTCACATCTTCACATTCTAATATTATTGTTTGATTGTCCTTTACCCGAAAAGACTCTCTACGTTCCATCGTCATTACGGAAACAACCACTTCATCTCCACATTCTAATCTTATTGTTTGATTGTCCATTTTCCAACGGCTCAACCATGTTATGTCTTCTGGAGAACAGCGACAGTAGAATCGTGGACCATAGATCCATTTCATACCCTTGCTCTTGTTACTCACTTCAATACTCATTACTGGCTCAGGCGTATATATCAATCTATCTTTTGCAATGATAGCAAAGATGTTCAAACCTCTAATTTTGTGACTTGAAAGAAAAGGCACAATAAAAGATATTGAGGAATTTGTACTTTTATAGCTGAACCGGCCCGGAGCCTCATTCTCCGCAAAAAATGAAGTGGGTGATTGGGTGTTTTTGAAGTTGTCACCATGGAGAGGTGTTGTCCGGTTCGGGAAGAAAGGCAAGTTAAGTTCCAAGTATATCGGACCATATATGATCACCTAGAGAGTTAGTGAAGTGGCTTACAGGCTTGAGTTACCTTCTGAACTGGCTAAAGTGCATAATGTTTTTCATGTGTCGATGCTTCGTCATTACGTTGTAGATCCGTCGCACGTGATACTTCCTCAACCATTGGAAATTAATCCAGATTTGACATATGACGAGGAATCAGTAACGATTCTAGATTCGAAGGAGAAGGTTCTGCGGAACAAGACGGTGAAATTAGTGAAGCTTTTGTGGAGGAATCACTCTGTTGAGGAAGCTACTTGGGAAACAGAAGATAAGATGAGAGGTTTGTATCCTCGATTGTTCTACGATTACTAGTGGGCAGTTTGATTGGTTGTTTTGAATTTCGGGATGAAATTTCTTAAGGTGGGTAGGTTGTGACAGCCCATCCCGAATTATTTATACCGTGTACGTGAAATGACGTTTTTGCCCCTAGTGGATAATTGTCATTTTGGTGTGTGGTTGTTTTTCTTTTGGCTAGTGGCATCTCAGCCACACATCCATCCTTATATTCTTCATCCATTTCTCCAATGTTTCCTCTGTCCCGAAGCCTCTCTCTCCCCCTTTTCTTTGTGTTACGTACAGACATATACCAAAACACTCGAAAACATTACGGATCGAGGAAGAAAACTTTACCTTTGTGTTCATGAGGATCATACGAGTTCAACCATACCCATTTCAGGTAAGGAAACCTTCGATTTCACGTCGAACCCGAGATGTTCAATTCGGGGTACTATTCATGCACACGTAAAATCGTGTGTTTTTGGGAATTTTAGGTTTATAGAAAACTTGGTGAGGTCCTTAGGAAGCTCGGGGTGGTTTGTTTGAAGGTTTTGGACGTCAGGATCGTGAGTTACAGGTTTGGCCAGATTTTGCGAAGTTTTTCCGGCAAGATTTCGTGAATTTCAGGGCTTGAAAGTGATAAGGTTTTGTTCTACTAGTTGTCATTTTGGTACCAATTTCATGAAATTTGGTTGAAAAACGAGTGAGAAACAAAGGTTTGAAATTTTCTCGTTTTTTCGGCGACGGCGACAGCGACAGAGGTTGGTCGGAGAAGACGACGGAATGTTCCGTCAGTTTGGACAGAATATTCCTAACGGCGTCAGGTTAACTTTAACGAAATCTGTTAGTTTTAATGGAATATTCCCTAACGCCGTTAGGGTTGCCACATGTGCGCCCGACACGTGTTGTCCGCGCGTGGTCGACGTGTCTGGTCGTGCCTTGGCCGGCGCGTGGGTGGTCGGAAAATTATTTTAAAAATATGAGGATGTTCGTGAGGTTGAGTAAATCACGTTGGTGTATTCATACACCCCATTTGAGCAGTGTATGAGAAGTTATTACGTAATGTTGGTTATGTGTTTTAAATTAACGTTTTTATAGTTGTTTCGCATATAGGTGAGACCTATCCCGAGGAAGAGCACGGTCACTCGAGGCAAGGGGGTTACGACCCTTCCACATACTAGTGAGCGGGCTTTTGGTTTTCCATAAATACCTATATACTTGTGATTTTTCCCAGATAATGAAATAAGTGTTTATATGTTTTAAAGGCCATGCATAATGTTTGGATATTTATTTATGCATTTGTGGTTGCATATATATATATATATATATGTTGGTGCTGTGGACGCACAGGTAAGTGCCAGGTAAGTTTATGGCTTGTGATTGTGGATTAGTGGTTATGTGAGATGCATAGAGAGCTCATAACCTACAACCCCGGTGTTAGTGCTCCCGCCTAGAGTAAGGCATAGTCCTTCACGTGATGTTCACCTCCCGCACCACACGCTCATCTTAGATCCAAGTTAGGTGCACAGTCTTGTCGTACAGACCACTTTAGGTGGTTCCGAGTAGTAGGTGACCCGCGATTATTCGCCCAGCCTTCGCGTGATCGAAGCACCTGAGCGTATTGATTTACACCCAGTCCTGTCGTACAGACCACTTTAGGTGGTTCCAACTTGTGTGCAGGTTTAGTTAGTGAGTTGTGGACATGAGCTCTAGATTCAGCCATACAGGTCACGTTAGGTGACTCCGGCTGTCATGTTATTTATATTGATTAACGTTACCTGGATTACCTTCATTCTTATGTTGAGGCATTTGTCATGGCATAATTCTAATCATGCTTTTGATATATATATATATATATATATGTATATTTTGGTTTCTGGGAAAGTATACAGGTTTTACGGTGAGGGGTTTAGAACTTTTGATATTGAAATGATTTTGAAAAGCTTTGTTTTTGCCCACTCACACTTTTTGTTTGGCGCCCCTCCAGGTTCTAGTTTGGCTTGCTCTGTTGGTGACTTATGAGGAATCCATGACATATCTGATAGACTTTCACCAATGTAGGAGCACCTCTGGGTATTTTTAATTAGTGTTGTTCCTCTAGATTGCACTAGGATTTTCTATGCTCTGAATATTGCTGTTTACACTCACACTTGCACTTGTACTACCTTGTTTAGTAGTTTGATTTTTATTTATTCATACTTTTATTATTAGTTTTGCTTCCGCACTGTGCACATGGTTACGTCAGTCTCATGTGACAACCAGCACGCCTTGTCCACGGTCGGGGTGTGTCACTTTAATTAAAAGAAAACTAACGAAAAAAGTTTGAAAACTTTGAGTTTTAACGATAAAGATAAAATAAAGGGTAAAGTGAATAGTACCATGATTGACTTTTTAGTGTAAAAATATGATTTTTCGTTAAAGTGAACAGTACCTAGAGCTTTTCGTTAAAGTTCTCTTTAATTAATTGGTTCATTCCCATCTACTTCCTGGAAAAATTACAAATAAATATAATCGGTCGTTTTAGTCAAGCAAATGAAAACGCCTCGTCTTTTTATGTAATTGAGACAGAGACATACCATACAAGTTAATTATTTGTGTTGTCTTTTATTAACTGCTTACCAAAAAATAAAAATAAAAAACTTGGAAATTAGAATTGACTAAAAAGTTTTGTCTGCGTGTTGCTGCAGCGCATTGCTGCCAGAGTAGAAATTGTGCGAAAAATTATATTTCAAAGGTATAAACACATCAACCTATCACATCTAATTAAATTCCTGTGACAACATATTGACACACTTAATATGAAAATTCATAAACTATTTGACATTATGAAATCAAGCAATCTCTGAAGGTGAGAATGGAGCTTAGAATATAGAAATCCTACCTCATATATATTAAAGAAATTAACAAATTCTCAGTGAATGATCACAAAAAAGGTATAGATAAGTAATTCAATTTCTCAATTTCAAAAACGGAAAAGGAAAAAAAAAAAAGGTTAAAAGTTCTCAGTTCTCACCATAAGAAAAATTATGATATCATTTTCACATGAACTTGGGTTGATCTCGGTCACCAGCATTAATAAACAAGTTACTTCAACTTGTGCAAGCAAACAACTAAATTAGACGCAAGCCAACCAACTTCGAATTTAACCAAATAAAAAAAGTAATCACAACCAAACTAACCTCTTATTTCCATACAAAGTAGATTGACACACCCCGACCTAACTCGAGGCATGCTGGCCGTCGCGTGAGGGTGACGTAGCCATGAGCGCAATGCGGAAGTGATAAAGATACAAAAGTGTGAGTAATTAAAAACCAAAACTAATTAATTTACACTAGGTAAGTATAGAAGTGCGAGTGAAGATGTTTAAAGCACAGATACACATCCTTAGAGCATAGATAACCTAAATGTAGTCCAGCAAGCTAAATTCTAATTATAAGGATATGAAAGAAAACCCTACATTACTTGGAGTTTGTCAGAACCGCTGTAGAGTCCTCGTGAGCCACCAACACGAACGTCTAACTAGAACCTAGAAGGGCGCAAAACAGAAAATGTGAGTGGGCAAAAACAAAGCTTTTAAAAACCATTTCTCTTTCCAAAAGTAATAACCCCTCACCTGAAACTTGTATAATTTCCCAGAAAATAGTAATACATACTGTTTGGGCCCAAAATAATATGGTTTGGGCCGAATGTAGGGTTGGGCTCAGCCCAAAGCCATGTCCAAAATACTATTGGCTGCCTGATGATTTCGGGCCAGTTAGTAGGGATGGTCGAGTCTTATCGCAAGAAGGAGTAGTTCAGATAAGCAAAGAGGATCGAGGAAGTCGTGGTGCAAATAGGATTCTCGACTGACAATGAATAAAGCCCCAAAAGGGGGTGAGTTCAAAGTCCTAGTGAGTGTAGGGTTGTTCGGAGTAGAGTCAGAACGAAACAAAAACTCCCAATCCGGGTAGGAGTTTAATTCGATCTCAAGAATGAGTTGGTGCTATAAATACAAGAAATCATGCAACAATTAAAGACCTTCAATTCAACACACAATTGCCTTGCACAAAACCTCTCAAATAGCGTGAGATTTTTATTTTCTTTTTCTCGCCGACACACCTTCAGTTTGGATAGACAGCACTGTGGAGACAACCGGCGAACACCTTCAGTTTGGATAAACAACACTGTTGCCGTAGAATCAGCTGACCAAGGAGCACCTTCAATTTGGATAAACAACACTGCATCGAGGCCGACTGGTTACCTATCTAAGTCTCGGCCGAGAAGGGTTTTTGAATCCTTGTTGGCAAAGGTTATCTTATTAGCCTTCTCGGCGAAGTAAGGTGTTACTAGCTACGATATTTGGCGTACTAGACGCCGAAGTAATTTTATGATTGGATACTCACAAGTGAGTTTCAGAGTTCGGCATTTTGACGGCCGAACCACATTCACCATCAAGACATACATCACCTTTGAATATTTTTGTCCATATAGTCTGGTGTCGATTCGACGTGCTTATACTCTTACGAATATAATCACGGTAACCAAATTGGGCGCCAACAATTTGTGAACTTCGCAGAACTAGCAGCCTTATCTTCAGGCTCTAGAACCTGAAGACCAAGAGTG